AATCCGAAATAAGCATCAGATTCTTTTTATATTTCACACATCCCATTATTTCCACTAACAAAAGATCTGTTGTGAAGATGGAATATATCGGTCCACTTCTTCCGGTACCTCCCCCACAAAGGCTGACATTTTTGAATATCCATGAAGCTCATAAACAGCGAAATTAACATCCGATTCCATTCAAGACTTGGTATATCTCAATATTGCCATCAACACAAGATATGTTATAAAGATGGTAGAGATCGCACCATTACTTCTGGAACCTTCCCCACAAAGGGTCAAAGTTTTGAATAACAAAAACGTTTATAAAATCCGAAATAAGCATCAGATTCTTTTTATATTTCACACAATTTCATTATCATTAAAAACGAAATAAGCATCCGGTTCTCTTCAAATTACACACATCACAATATTTTCATTAACCCTAGCTCTGGGGTAAAGAAACTCCCTCTGGTACCTCCCCCACAAAGGGTCAAAATTTTAGGTATCCGTGAAGCTTATAAAGCGCTAAATAAACATTCGATTCCATTCAGACTTCGCACATCTCGATATTTCTATCAAGCAACAGATCTGGTGTAAAGATGGAAGGGATCGGACCATTTCTTCTGGTACTTCCCCCCAAATAGAACTTAAGATTTAGAAAGCCATACCCTCAAAGAACACGAATAAGTATCAACTCCCTTCAAATGAAACACATGCAAACATTTTTGCTAACAAAAGATCTGTTTTGAAGATGATATACATCTGATAACCCCTTCGGGTACCTCACCCACAAAGGCTCACAATTTCCAATACTTATATCTGTCATAACTTGCGAAACAAGTCGGCGATTTTTTACAACTTGTTATATCTAAATATATGTCTCTTAACCAGAATCTTGAGATGAATAGGGAATTTATGATTTCCCATAAAATTGGAGATAAATGTTCGATTTGCTTATAATTTTGACCATACCAATATTTTTATCTGCATTAGATGAAGCATGAAAATAGAAAACTTCGGTAAAGGTCGACAATTTAAATAATCAGATTAAGATTCGGATTCGCTACCCATCACGAAAGGCTAGTTCGAGATTTAAAGTCCATCGAGTTTAAGTCTCCTCCTCCTCCCGGCATATGCCCGAAAGGCCATTTCTCCATATATTTCGAATCGATGTTTGAACTGAAGTTCCCTTTACTCAATAATTTCCAGTGAATGACTTGGTCTGACATTCTTGTTTAAAATGGCAATTGTTTTTTTACAACTTCGAAACTAACTAAAATTCTTTTTCACAGAAAAAATCTCCTTGTTGTGATTTTCCATTTACCATTCTTTTACACGGAATTATTGTTGCTTTCACAAAATGGAATTTTGATACAAACCAATTTTTGTTGCCAAACAAAATCTACAACATTTTAGCAAATGAATAAAATATAACTTTGCATACAAGAAAAAAAAAAAACAACAAACAAACACCAACAACAAACAACGAACCACAAAAATCTCACCGACAACAATGCCCCAACATCAACAGCACCAGCCAAAAAACAAAAGGAGGCGTGGGTGTTTGGAAAACTTAAATATTCATCCCTCGCTTTGTTACTTACCATCACGGTGGATGGCGATGATGACGTTTAGCGAGCGTTTGGGAGGAAAAATATAGTGGGCGACATATTTTATCCCCCAATCGCCAAGCGTCAACTTCCATCCAACCAGCCAACGTAACAAACACACTTCGTTGCATTGTTCTAATTAGTTTGGCCAACAACAATGGTTATGGTGGCGGTGCTGGTCCTCGTTGTGGAGAGGCAAACAACATGCTTGCAAACAATGTGACATATTTAAACATGTGACTTGTTCGACGTTAAATGACAAAAGGAACTAAATGCCGAAATTTGAATAATAATCAACGCCAAGACGAAACGGCTGAAGCTAAAAACTCGAATTTTTGCACGATGGATGCGTGATGTGTGATAAGGCTGGGTTTTAAAAATTCCTACTAAAAGGGTACGATTAGTACTAAAAATTTAATTCTTAATATTGGACAAACGGAATGAGTTAGAATTCTGAGTTTTGGAATAAGAGTCACTAATGGAGTGCAGAATAGATGTAACATTTTTTTTCTTTGGAAATTTGAACTTGAATTTTACGAAAAGTTCTAAAGTGGCATCATTTGATATTACACGAACGGATAGAGCTAAAAACTTGAAATTTGGTATGAGAATCAAGGTTTGATACAAGAAGGTTGTTGAAATGTGTTCTATGTGTGCGAACTGTACTAAATGGTACTAAATTTAGAAAAGTCTGGTTAAGGGTGAACGGATGAATCTGAAATTTAAATTTTTGTATTGGGATCCCTGTTGGTGGTAGGCTGATGGTGATAAAGAGGTGGAGATTGGAAATGTGTATTACAAGTGCAAGAAAAGTTCTAAATAGTACTATAATTGGTATTGGATGACCTGAGTGTGCTGAAAATTGGTATTGGGGTCGCTGTTCATGTGAAGCATGGATATATGGAGTTCGTTTTAGAAAGGTGTACTATAAGTGTACGAAAAGTAGTACTATATTTGCTACAATATGATATTGGATGGAATTCGGTATTAGGTTCGCAGTTCATGTGTAGCCTGGACTCTGGAGATGGTTTCGGTAATATCTACTATAATTATACTGAAGGGTACTATATTTAGTACTGGGTGAAGGGATAGAGATAAAATTCTGAAATTTGCTATTCAGATTACTGATGGTATCTGTATTTGAGATATGGCAGTGGTTTGAAAATCCATCCTGTATTTGTACGAAAAGTACTAAATGGTACTAAATGTGATATTGGGGTAAGGGAATAGGACTGGAATCCTCAAATATGATATTGAGGTGACTGTGAGTATCTGGAATTAAGATGTGGAGGTGGTTTTGGAAGTGTGTATTATAATTACACAAAAATACTGAATAGTACAAAATTTGGTATTGGGTGAAGGAAAAAAGCTGAAATTCGGAAATTTTTATAGATGCCACTCTTGGTGACTGTGACTGAGAAATAGGTACTATAAATGAACGAAAAGTACTGAATGGAGCTATATTTGGTATTGGGTGTAGGAATGGAGATAAAATTCTGTAATTTGGTATGTAGATTACTGATTGTACCTTTTTTTGACATTTGACAGTGATTTGGAAATACATCCTATATTTGTACTAAATTGGTAAATTTGGTATTTGATGAGGGGATAAAGCTGTACTATAATTGTACGAAAAGTACTAAATAGTACTAAATTTAGTATTGGGTGGAAAAAACAAGTTGAAATTCTGAAATTTTATATGGATGTTACTGTTGGTATCTAAGCTTGAAAGGAGTAGCTCGTTATATATGCGTACTAAATGGTACTAAATTTGCTAATAAGGGAAGTTACAGAGCTGAAACCCTGAAGTATGTATTTAAGGTCGCTGTTGTTTCCTGAGTCTGAGATTTAGAGATTGTTTTGAAAATGCGTATTTTAACTATACGAAAAAAAAAAATAAATTAAATGCTACTAAATTAGGTATTGGGTGAAGGGATAGAGCTGACATTCTTAAATTTGATATGGAATTTACTGTTGATGTCTATAGTTGAAGTAGAAGGAGGTACTTTTGGAAAGGCGTACAATAAACGTAAGAAAAGCGCATAATGCCACAAAATTTTGTCTGTCTGGCTGGTGCGCACGTCGTATCTGATTTGGACCAAACTTGGTACATCGTAATATTATCAAACTCAGATCGAGTTCGGAGATGGGCAATATCGACTGCTTCTGGTACCTCCCACGCAAAAAAAAAAAAACATATTTTTCTGCACTGAAAGAGAAATGATAGTCCGAGTTTGCAAATTCTGATATTTGCATCAGTGAAAACGGACAATATCGGTCTACTCTTTCGCGTACCTCCCTCAAAAATGGTCAACATTTTGGATGAACCTCATAAAACGCGAAATTAACATTCGATTCCATTCATCTAAATATTTCTATCAACACAAGATCTGTTATAAGGATGGTAGAGATCGGACCATTCCTTCTGGTACATCCCCCACAAAGGGTCAAAGTTTTGAATAACCAAAACGATAATAAAAAATCTGAAATAAGCATCCGGTTCTCTTCATATTCCATTATTTCAACTAACACAACATCTGCTGTAAAGATGGGATATATCGATCCACTCCTTCTGCTATCTCCCCCACAAAGAGTCAACATTTTGAACATCCACGGATCTCAAAAAACGCGAAATTAACATCTGATTCCATTCAGACTTGGCGCACCTCAATATTTCTATCGACACAAGATCTGTTACAACGATGGTAGAGGTCGGACCATTTCTTCTGGCACCTTCCCCACATAGTGTTCAAGATTTTGAAAAACAAAACACTCAGAGAAAGCGAAATATGCATTCAGGGTCAACGTCAAGGGTAACAATTTTCAATACTTTTATCGGTCATAACTTGCGAACTCTCAGCGATTCTTTACAACTTGTTATATCTAAATATTTCTCTCAACAAGAAACCTGGGAGGAATATGGAATTTACGATTTCCGCATAAAATAAGATAAAATTTTTCGGTTTTCTTCAAATTTTGTCCACACCAATTTTTATCTGTATTAGATGAAATATGAAAATGGAATACTTCAGATGGCTTAATGTGGTACCTCTAGCACATTTTAACATTTTCAAAGCATTATCACATATCTCATATAAAGTGAAGGAAGTAACCAATATAGTCCAAACCTTGACCATCGCAATATTTATATCATATTTATTTAGGTTCGATTCGAAATGGACAATATAAGCCCATTCCTTGGGAACTTACTCCATGGAGGGTCAACAATTTAAATAATCATAACAAAAGTCAAATATAATTAAATAATTGAATATTGGCTGAGGGTATACATCTTTCAGCAAACCCGAATGACACTTTTTAATTTGTCCGATTTTATTTATTTTTTTTAATAAATTAATAAAATAATTTTTTTTTATTAATTATTCAATTTATTTGTTTTCATTTCAGGATCAGCATCATGTGAACGTTTCGATTGGTAAGGGTTTTTTTAATATCTTATTTCATTCTAAACTAGTATAATGTGGTAAGGGTTCAAAAAAATCCGTATGTTGGTATCAAGATAAGTCTACATTATTATTAGCTCCACCATAATATGGAGGCTATATTAAATTATTCACGATGTACAGGATGAGATGAAAAAACTGCAATCAACTTAAGACTGCTGTCATTTCCAATCCACTCGTTCGACACCTTTTAAAATTATTCCAGTAACAGCCGATTATATTGTTTACAAGCGTAGAAAAGCATTTTGGTGAGAAGTTTCCACAAAAAAAGTTATTCGTGATGGAATTCTAGCGTGATAGGGTGATTTCTTTATATTTGGCTTGAAAACCACAGGTGGCTATCGTTAGAGCACTCCAGCATTTAAATGTGAATAAATCGTTTGTGTCCCGTACCATCGCTGGTTACCGCGATACTGGTAGCGTAGCGCGACGTCAAAGAAGTGAACGGAAGAAAACAGCAACAATGGTTCGAAAAGTAAAGAATCGATTTGATCGAATCCCGCGTCGTAGTGGCCGAAAAATGGCTCGTGAGCTCAATATATCGAAATATTTCATTCGGCAAATATTGGAAAATGAGTCCGGGTAAAGCTTATGAAATTCCTAAGGGTGCAAGAACTTACACCGCAACAGAAAGAAAATAGACTCAAAAGAGCTAAAGAGTTGCTTCGCTTGGCCGAAAGTGGTAAACTGTCGAATTTGGTTTTCTCCGATGAGAAAACATTAGTTGGCCAGTAGTTTGTAAACAAGCAAAAGATCGTGTTTACTTGCTAAAGAGGCCAGCTGAAAATGTGCACCTTCGGTTGGCCACCAGAACTCAAGCGCCGGCCATAGTGATGGTGTGGACCGCCGTAACAACCGATGGTCGCTCTCCGCTCGTATTAATCGACCATTGCATCAGAATAAATGCCGAATGTTATCGCGAAAATATCCTGGAGGGTGTATTAAAGCCTTGGGCACGCAAACATTTTGGCCGCAGACATTGGACATTCCAACGGGACTCAACACACGCCACCCAAGAATGGTTACAAAATGAGGTTCCTCGGTTTATTTCTTGCGCACAATTGCCACCAAAATCTCCGGATACCAATCCGTTGGACTATTGTGTCTGGAGTATTTTGGAAATCAAGGTTGGCACTAAAAAGTACCAAAGTGTCGAGCACCTCAAGCAAGCGCTTCGCCGGGAATGGGGCAAAATACCGCAGAGTAACATTCGGGCAGCGTGTGACAGTTTCATTGTCCGTTTGAAGGCCATAATTCGTGCCAAAGGTGACCAATCCGTTGGACTATTGTGTCTGAAGTATTTTGGTAATCAAGGTTGGTACTAAAAATACAAAAGTGTCGGAGCACCTTAAGCAAGCGCTTCGCCGGGAATGGGCCAAAATACCGCAGAGCAACATTCGGGCAGCGTGTGACGGTTTCATTGGCCGTTTGAAGGCCATAATTCGTGCCAAAGGTGACCAATTCGAACAAATCTAGACTTATTCTAAAATTTGATGGTATTTCCGACATTTTTTGCTTTCATCCACAATAAAAAAAATGAAAAATTATGGCGTTTGACTTTGTTGCAGTTTTTTACCTCAACATGTATAAGCGCGTCATAAAATCAAGTGCTTGATTATGTCAAGCTCCAAGTAAAAAGGTTGTAGCTCCTGGAGTTCAACAGATATCAAAATGAAAATTTTATAGAAACTTTTAACTTTTTTTCGTGGAAGAAATAAATATTCCTAACTCCAACATTAAAGCTCTTTAAATATTTGTGTTACAATCGGAACATTTGTCCGTTTTAACGTTAATTAATCGTTTTCTTTGCCACATCAATACAGGACACTTATGACAATCATCAACGTCAAAAGATGTCTAGCAGTCTCTTGTCAATGCACATCATCAATGGCCTCCGGCCAAATATCTGAATTTCAATCACGATCCACAAATTTTTCTCAATGAACCCAAGGCTTACATAAATGTGTCGTGTATATCATCATTTAATTTCCATCAATTTATTATTTAGAACATTTTGCATTTCATCTACTCGCACATTTGGTTATGTTGGCCGAAAGCGATAACGCACCACCTACCACAAACATTTCCAATATATTAGGTTGTTTCCAATCAATGCCAGACAATGGCAACATTCATAGAAATATCCAATATTTGAATGTTATTTTTGTCGGAGTATCTTTGGACAAAAGAAAGTCTGCCTATTGTTCTCGAAATTCAAATTCGATTTTGGAAAAATTTATGCAAATGGATACAAAAATGATTAGGTAAATGATTGAAATGACAATCACAATAACCTATTATACATATCAATGTATTGTGTCATATACGTGTGTACATTTACATATACACAACATACTGCCACAATCCATATCGATACGAAACATAACTACACCTGAATGTAACAAACAAACGAACAAAAAAATGTAATCTCGAATGAATCACTGGCAGCGGTAACTACAGTTGAGGGTGGAAATGAATTTTCAAAAAAAAAAAAAAAATCTGTGAAGCTGATACAACCATACGTTTGGGGTTGAGGGAAAATGGAATAACATGACATGAGACTATGTCAGTAAGCTGTTCTTCTGTGACAGTTTACTGACAGAGCTACGCGTTTGAATACTGATTTAGAAAATATTCACTAGTGTTTTAGAATAGCAGGCGTTATTAAGAAGCATGTTTAATGTAAATGGATTTAGTTAAGAGTATATAGAACCATGGAGGATTGATTTAAAAAAACAAAAACTTTTACAGTAGGAAAATCAAAAAGGACTGTTTTTTTAGGACCTGATTACTGATTACTGGCACCTGGTTTTGGTCTTTCGAAAATAATTTCTCAGTCCCTGAGGACAGATTTCTCTATCGAAAAAATAGTGCTCAGCCACACAGGCCTCTGATTTTTTTGCTATAGAAAATAATACTTTTGTCCAAAAGAGCTATTCTTTTTAATAGAAAAAAATACCTTAGTTCTGGAGGACCAATTTTTTTCTATAGAAAAGAAGTAGGTCTCAGTCACTGAGGCATATCCGATGTTTTCTATAGAAAAGAAGTAGGTCTCAGTCACCGAGGCCTATTCGATTCTCTAGAATAAAAAGGCCTCAGTCTGTAACCGTCTGTCTATAGAAAAAATAGCCTTCAGGCCTTCAATTTTTTTCTAAAGAAAAAATAGTTCTCAGCCCTTCGTTTTTTTTCTATAGAAAAAATAGTCCTCAGCCCTTCGTTTTTTTTTTCTATAGAAAAAATAGTACTCAGGCCTTCGATTTTTTTCTGTAGAAAAAAAATAGTACTCAGGCCTTCGATTTTTTTCTATAGAAAAAAATAGTACTCAGGCCTTCGATTTTTTTCTATAGAAAAAAATAGTACTCAGGCCTTCGATTTTTTTCTATAGAAAAAAATAGTACTCAGGCCTTCGATTTTTTTCTATAGAAAAAAATAGTACTCAGGCCTTCGATTTTTTTCTATAGAAAAAAATAGTACTCAGGCCTTCGATTTTTTTCTATAGAAAAAAATAGTACTCAGGCCTTCGATTTTTTTCTATAGAAAAAAATAGTACTCAGGCCTTCGATTTTTTTCTATAGAAAAAAATAGTACTCAGGCCTTCGATTTTTTTCTATAGAAAAAAATAGTACTCAGGCCTTCGATTTTTTTCTATAGAAAAAAATAGTACTCAGGCCTTCGATTTTTTTCTATAGAAAAAAATAGTACTCAGGCCTTCGATTTTTTTCTATAGAAAAAAATAGTACTCAGGCCTTCGATTTTTTTCTATAGAAAAAAATAGTACTCAGGCCTTCGATTTTTTTCTATAGAAAAAAATAGTACTCAGGCCTTCGATTTTTTTCTATGGAAAAAAATAGTACTCAGGCCTTCGATTTTTTTCTACAGAAAAAAATAGTACTCAGGCCTTCGATTTTTTTCTACAGAAAAAAATAGTCCTCAGGCCTTCGATTTTTTTCTATAGAAAAAAATAGTACACAGGCCTTCGATTTTTTTTCTATAGAAAAAAATAGACCTCAGGCCTTCGATTTTTTTTTTCTATAGAAAAAAAATAGACCTCAGGCCTTCGATTTTTTTTCTATAGAAAAAAAATAGACCTCAGACCTTCGATTTTTTTTCTATAGAAAAAAAATAGACCTCAGACCTTCGATTTTTTTTCTATAGAAAAAAAATAGACCTCAGGCCTTCGATTTTTTTTCTATAGAAAAAAAATAGACCTCAGGCCTTCGATTTTTTTTCTATAGAAAAAAAAATAGACCTCAGGCCTTCGATTTTTTTTCTATAGAAAAAAAAAATAGACCTCAGGCCTTCGATTTTTTTTTCTATAGAAAAAAAAAAAATAGACCTCAGGCCTTCGATTTTTTTTCTATAGAAAAAAAAATAGACCTCAGGCCTTCGATTTTTTTCTATAGAAAAAAAAAATAGACCTCAGGCCTTCGATTTTTTTTCTATAGAAAAAAATAGACCTCAGGCCTTCGATTTTTTTTCTATAGAAAAAAATAGACCTCAGGCCTTCGATTTTTTTTCTATAGAAAAAAATAGACCTCAGGCCTTCGATTTTTTTTCTATAGAAAATTTTTTTTTCTATAGAAAAAAATAGACCTCAGGCCTTCGATTTTTTTTCTATAGAAAAAAATAGACCTCAGGCCTTCGTTTTTTTTTCTCTAGAAAAAAAAAGACCTCAGACCTTCGTTTTTTTTTCTGTAGAAAAAAAAAAAGTCCTCAGGCCTTCGTTTTTTTTTTCTGTAGAAAAAAAATTCCTCAGGTCTTCGATTTTTTTCTATAGAAAAAAATAGACCTCAGGTCTTCGATTTTTTTTCTATAGAAAAAAATAGACCTCAGGTCTTCGATTTTTTTCTATAGAAAAAAATAGACCTCAGGTCTTCGATTTTTTTTCTATAGAAAAAAATAGACCTCAGGTCTTCGATTTTTTTTCTATAGAAAAAATAGACCTCAGGTCTTCGATTTTTTTTCTATAGAA